CGCTCTTACAAAGCTAGCATCTTCCAGAGAATCCGACACGCTAGGGGTCATTCCTATCGAAGAATTAGAGCAACCGACTATCGAAGAAAAGGTTAAGGCGTTAATCGTCCAAGTAAGTGAAAATTGGATGACTCCACTCATCCATTACCTAATGGATGTACAACTGCCGAATGATAAAGACGAAGCCAGACAGATTCGGTATAGAGCTACTAGGTACTTGTTGTATGACGGCTTGCTCTACCGACGAGGCTACTCAACCACTCTACAGCGGTGCTTGGATGATGCCGAAGCCCAGAAAGTCCTCCATGAAATCCATGAGGGAGTCTGAGGTAACCACACTGGGGGGCAATCTCTGGCTCTAAAGGTTTTAAGGCAAGGATACTACTGGCCCACGCTAAAAAAGGACGCTTTCCAATACGCCCAGCGCTGCGATAAATGCCAAAGGTATGCCACAATTCCTAGAACACCCCCAGAAAATTTAACTTCCATTCTCAGCCCTTGGCCCTTCGCCAAATGGGGGGTTGACCTGATCGGGTCGTTACTGCTGGGTGCCGAATCGAATCCGGCTGCAGAAGCGCGGTGGTGTGGGGAAGAGGCGGATCGTGTACAACAAAAATTTTCATAAAACTTTTGAGATACTCTATAGATTATATTAATTTATGCACGAATAAATTAATCTCATTAACTTATATATATCAAGAACTCAATCAGGAAAAATACCTGGAAGCCGACTCGGATGATAACTTGAGTTCTTTGACCACGAACAGTCCTTGCTCCAATATTTGTGTTTAGAAAACCAATGTCTTCCACATCAATTCCTAGAATCCACGAAGACGTGTGTGTGGGCACACATGAGACAAAACGGGTTACAATAAACACTCGAATTTCCACAAACACCATCACATGCACGATGTGGAATTTTTGGAGAAAAAATTTTTCCTTCCTTTCTCTCTTGGGAATTTCGGCCAGCCTTAACTCTTAGGGCTGAAAAATTGTTTCCAAAATTTCTATAGAGAAATTTCGGCTACCTCTAAAATTAGGGCAAAAAACCATTCTGAAAATTGTCTCAAAAATAGTATTTATAGAGTAGAAGTCAAACTTCTAGAAGGAATCCAATCTCTATCTCTAAGATAAAGCTTGTTAATTATCTCCTATTTGAATTTTAAACCAAATCTCCTCTTTTCCTCTATCCTATATGGCCGGCCATTCTAAGGGGATTCTCATCCCTGTGTGGCGCCAATATCAGATAGGGAAGGAAGAGAAAATCATCATTTATCCTGTAGTCCAATTTTGACTCAAATTCAAATTCCAATTTAAGTCAAACTTAAATTAATTTGAATTCTAAATTGAACAACTTATCAAATAAGTTTAAATGGATAAATCTAGATGTGTTCAAATTTAAATTTAAATAATCACATTATTTAAATAATAATTAATTCTCAATTAATTATTTTCGAGTATTTAATTTTAGAATTCTGTAATTCTAAAATTCCCATTTTGCCCTCTGTGTCTGGCAGAATTACTTGGACGACGCGGGGACTAATGGACCTATAATCCCGAGCTCCAATAAAATTAATAATTAATTAAACACTTTAATTAATTAATTAATTCTATTAATTCTAATAGTTACTCCACTATAAACTTGGAATTGCACTCTCGAAATTATAGATATTAATTACTTCTAAACTGTGAAGTGTCCATTTGATATAGTCATTGCATATAGATCAATCCTCCATAAATAATTCATAATTAGAGCAAGGTAAAATCCGTTAACCTCTCTAATTACTTCTTTATCCTTGAGTACCATTGATTCTCTAATGGACAGTGATTCATAAAACACATTCATGAATCGGAGCTCCTACTGGTCCAAGTACCGAATCAACCCTCAAGAGAATTATTTATCTACTTCTTTCTTAAGAAGGAATGGATTCCATCTCGTGTAATAACATTCCCGGCTACCTACTTCATCATGTCTCCAAAATACAAGGAATAGGATTCAGGATCTCAGAATCCGTACCGAGTAAATCAAAAGACACAAATCCATAAATAGGAGTCTGTTAAGAACTCAGGATTAAGATCATCCTATATATGACCATCGGTAGACTCAATTATAATTTCTATACTTAACGGAATTATTAGAAATTCATATTGTGTCTGTGTCTTTGTTCCGTATAATCTCATTATGCGAAATACACTCATTCAATATCTCGCCATATTAACAGTGCGGATAACACCGTTCCATTCTAAATGGGAATGACATGTATTAATAATGTTTTAATTAAAGATTCTGAACTTTAATTAAATTCATTATGAACATTACTTTTTGATTATTATCCTTAAACATTATCCTCTCGTATATAACACTTATATACAGTGTTTAAGGTTACATAAATAATCATGGAATTTTCATTGATATTCACAAAATATTCATAAATATATGCACATAAAATAATGAATAAACTATTTTATTAAATAAATAATAAATATCCTATTACATCTCATGCTTCTAGGACACCATTCCCAACAAATAGAACTGAAAATAACCGTTTTACAGGCTTCAGCAAGTAATTAGTACAAATTACTTACCTAACCAAGTGCCTCGCCTACCCGGACCGAGTTTTGGGTTCTAACCCCGAGGATGCACTCTCCGCATCCTATCTAGGCTTACGGCAATAGACTCTATTACCAGTTCACAAGATCTCTTTGCTTAAGAAATCATTCATTAACTTTTCTGAAATCATTTTTATGACCCCACGAACTACTCAAGCCGCGGGCCCCATGACTAGGCAAGCCATGAGGTTCCATGACTAAACAAGCCATGGTTTCAAAGCGTTTTCCTTTTACAAACCAACCCCTTTTTTTAAAACATTTCCAAGGCCAAAATCTTTTTGAAAACAGGCTCACAAGGAAAAGAGATAAAAATCCTACCTCGCACTATCAAACCTGGGACTAGCTTTGCCTTTTCTGGCTTCCGCTTCCTCAAACCCCTTCAGTCTGAATCCTCAGCGATCACTGATGCAAGACAACACTTTAGGATCAATTCTCATTCCTAAAGCAATCCAATCTCAATTAGATACCAGGATTTCTAATTAGTGTGCCCTAATCCATTTTCATGTTTCAAAATATCATTCCAAGGGTTTTCAATCCCAAATTAAGGATTAAAGATGCTAATCCATTCATCTCAAGTCCCCAAATGAAGCTAATTTGGGTTCTCCCCGAAAACAGGGGTCAAAACAGTAATTTCAAGCCAAACAAGGTCAAACCCCGTGTCAACCGGTCGACCGGTGACAGAGCAGTGCAACACTACCGGTCGACCGGTAGTGTGCACACCGGTCGACCGGACCGGTCGACCGGTCAGCCTGCAATCCGGTCGACCGCATAGGTCGACCGGGTTCCATGTGATCCGGTCGACCGCACAGGTCGATCGGTGGAATCAGCTGCGCGAGAGAAGCTCACGGAAATCAGTCCAAAACCTGCAAATCCAGTCCCAAATCGAGATATTTCAAAGGAAAACTACTAGATCTGGGTTCTAGGTCCTAAAACAAGTTCAAAGAACCCAAGATCACCAATTTCTACCCTAGTTTTACTCAAAACCCATCAAAATCCAGTTTGAACCAAAAATAAATTTTGAAATTCAAGAGAGGTTCTTTCAGTAATCTTACCTCGAATCCTTCTCTTAACGTTGAAAACTTCTTTAAATCTTTCCTTGGTTCAAGATCCGTTTGATTTGGGCCAAAAATGAGAGAGAGAGAGAGAGAGAGAGCACGAGAGAGTAAGACGCACGGGAAGGAAAAGGAAGAAAATGGAAAAGAAAGAAAAGAAAAGAAAAGAAAAAGAAAAAGGAAAGAAAATGGACAAGTGTCAATATTTTAAAAGAGCAGTCCAGAAATGCGCCCATACACACTTCTGGTTGCAAATAAATTACTGAGAATAATTTAAATACCTTGGAACTATTTAAACTCACACGTGTCAGAAATATTTATTAATTAATACTGAATTAATAATCCAGATTAGGCACACTAATAATCTCAATTACCTTAATTAATCTCAATTAATTCTTCAGCGTGTTACATGTTATTAGGAATAAATGTAACAATACTCTTTGAGACACTTTGACTATAAATAAAGATTTATTTATTTCATATATCTATGCATTGTCCAATTTATGTACATATTAATTGAATGTATGATAAGCAAACTAAAAGTCTGAGACTGTCATTCTAAATCTTTAGATTGTGCATGTAATGAGAAGAACATGCAGAAAACATGAATCGAAAGATGATTGTCTAAATAATATGATCTGCAATCAAGGGAATAAAGTTGGGCGCTTTATTAATGTTAAGATTGTTATGTTGTCTACTTCCTAATGGAGACGGCTTGTCTTGGTTGTCGGAGGTGGGACTCCATGGGTAGAGATATTGATATAGTTCCTAGTGGTGGAATCTATATCGGATCGGGCCAAAGTTGAATTGTTTAATTAATAATTCCATTTGAATAAAACACTTCATTTTTGACGAATTATATGTGGTCATCTTAATTCGAAGATGGATAATGAACCTGTGTACATGACTTGTATCCTTTGATGTACCATAGGGAGACATCATGACATTTTATAAAGGTACGCTTACCGGTACATTGAGGGTATGACTCTTGTGTGCGTAGATTCATTGTGCATAGATAGTGGAATCTATAGCTCCTATAAAGAGTCAATGATATCCACTTATGCATTATCTGTTGATTGAAAAATACGAGCGCTCGGCCATTAGACTATTCTATGTTATCTAATGGTTTACTATTTGTATTGGTGTGGATAGTGATTTTCCAATGGAGTGGAAATGGAAACATAAGATAAATATAATCGGGAAGGTAAACTGAACTTGACCTTAAGTCGATTATGGATATCCTATGGGGATGATACACCAATATAATGAGTCATGGACGAGAGCTATTCAGAGCTTTGTAAATATGTTATATGAATCGAGAGTGTCACTCTAGGCTTTTAGTGGAGTAGTGCTGGAGTTTATAATCATGAGATGGACTTGTTGGATCACAAGTACTATTGTGATTATAGGAGCTTAATTTGTATATGTCCATCGGATCCCTTTGCTATCTCATATAATTTCCTATAACGATATGGCGTATTTATTACATATTGATAACTTGTGTTATTTCTGTAATAATTGGTTAATTCATGATTAATTTATCAGGTGAATTAATTGATAAATTAATTCTAGATAAATTGGTTGAATTAATATTTTTAGGCTGTTAATTCATGAGTAATTTATCGTGTGAATTAATTAATAAATTAATACTAGATAAATTAGTTAA